ATCATATCAAAAAAAATAAAAATAAAAAAATTTAGACGTCTCAATGCGCGCCTAGACGCTCATAGGCTCGCCTGATGCTCGCCTATGCGCGCATTGAGACGCCTAGGCAGTCAACAAAAATCGTTGACCGCATTTTTACCCGCATTGTCCATTTTGATGCGTTTTGTACGCGCGTCACGTCTAGGCGGTGCATTTGCGCGCCTTTTAGAACATGGGTGATAAGTGCATTTTTGTGCACTTATTCACTAAGATTTTGCATCGTTTTAGTATTGAATTTTACTTAATTTATGTTAATTTTATCTTATTTCAGTTTTGGACTCATTTCTAAGTAATTGGAAAAGAAAGAATCATCAATTGGCCAATGGATGGAAGTTTGGGACTAATATGCATTTGAATAAAAGTCGAAGCACTAAAATCGATAATTCAATTATCAGCCTATATTCTTTAGTCCGATTTGTGTATAAATTGACAATCGATAATTCAATTTATCCAACTATCTCTTATGAGGTGAGTTAAACCTATTTCTAAGTACGCTTCAAAATATTTCTGTTTTGAATTCAAATACTTAAAAACACATTAAATTGAATGATTACTTATTTTGATTGCACTAGTCATAAACCATCATTCATAACGTTTATTAAGCCCTATGTCAATTATCACTATTGCTCGACCTATATCAAACCTCCCAAAAATAAAATATGCAACTTATTATAAAAAAAGGTGATCAAGCATTTAAGTACGTGTTATGAACCAATCAAGATACCATAATCGTTTTAATACAAATTTATTGGAAATTTGGCCAAATAATTAAAGACGAGAATAATATAAGTAATATGAAAATTATGGATCACACAAGATTGATGTGGAAGAGGGGGATATTTATAATATCAATAAATTAAATTGTCTTTACAATATTTGATTCTCTCAATCTAAATCTAAATAATTCTCTCAAATTTCTAATGTATATAACAATGATCTAATCGTTATCTTGACTCTCAAAAGAGCCTACACCTTTGCGTACCAAGCAGGGATGAAATTCCTCCCCGAACAGGTGGCGTTGTGGCCCTTGCCGACGCTCGGAGGCCGGCGAGGGGCGCTAGCCCTTCTGTTTCCTTTCACGCTGTAGGCGTCGCGGTGCCTCATCTCCACACCCCGATTCTGTCCTAAAACGTTCCAAACACGTTTTTATCCATTCCAAAGTTCTTTTCTCAGTCAAACTCTCAATTCATTATGAAATGATCTCTTATCAAACCGAACTTCCAAACCAACATTATCTAGACTTCCTTAATGAATCAAACTTCCACGAGCTCAAGGGAAGTTTAAGAGTCGAGCCGAGCATGGACTCTGCTAGTCTTTGACTAGCCACGAGCTCGGCTCATCTGTTGGACGAATCAAGCTCGTGGCTAATAGGGCCAAGCCGAATGGTCCATTACCACCACTAAGATGTTTACATAGACATAATACAATCAAGGACGAATCATAACTTGGCTTGCTGTCCAGTCACATCTATGAACAAGTTTGTACACAACTCTTGTGAGCCAAGTTCCTTACTATTGGATGGCATCGTTCTTTACCTGAGCGTGTGAAGTGATATAATGATCCTTGATTCCTCCTAGAGGAGAAGGTCAAGAAAAACTACAATACGCTTGGAGGTGCAGGACCCTTTCGGCCCCTTGCCACCCGATGAAACCCTCCACGAAAAATCATCATTTTTTTTTATGGTTTTTTCACTTCTCATAGTTGTTATGTCCACATCTCCCAAAAATGATCCTGGAACCGATACGTTCTCCTGTTCATCAACTCGAACCTCATGCCAAAGACTCATTTCTCCATTACTAAAGTTATAATCTAGACATTCGAAGGGAAGGTTATCCGTTGCACCCAAAAAGCAAAAACGATCAGTAAGGTAAGACTCTCGTGGCAGGTCGAGGCTTGAGTAGAAAATGGGAAGGGAAACTTTACCGCTAGACACCTAGTATCGTAAAAATATGTGGATCTGGGGCTCAGCTAACAAGAAGGAAGGTGGATTTGAACCACTAATGAGCTTATTGGCGTTACTCTGAAACATTTGATTTAATAAAAATGAGACAAGTCTTGGGAACTAAACAAATGAATAGTTGTCGCTCATAAGCACCTCTTCCTTACCGACAGCCAGGAGTTCTCCGACAATAATTGGCTCTATTAAAGCAGAGAAGAATTGAAATCCCCTTGTACTAAATATGCCCCTAGAAAAATCAGAAATAGTCATAGCTTTAATTGTTGTCGAAGCGATGGGAGCTACCTAGTGTGGTTGCTGATTTTGATCTTGTCGGGTAGAGAAAGCCGAAGTGGGGACTCGATTCAAGATGTAGCGTAACTAATAGAGCCGAGCAGTATTGATAAAATAAATTCTCGAGTTTGAATAAGGTCAGGATCCATCACACTAGCTTCGTTCCCTTATTTCTAGAATCCCAGGCTTACCTAAGCTTGAAGCAAGAATAAATGATAAGCCTCTGGAAGCAGGGTTTCTATTCTAATTGTCCTGTCCTAAAATCCAATTTATGCTCTTTACGGTTAAGTGTTGGCATAAGTCCCGCAATGAATTAACATTTTTGTAAAGAAATTTATATTTATTAAAGATTTTTTTTTTCAATTTTTTTAATTTAAATTCCAGTGCCTTAGTTAGTCTCTGCAAAATGCTTTGGTAAGTCATAAAACTCGTACCAACAGTCAAATTTGTTCACTTCATTGACTTATTTTTTTTTAATTTTGAGTTTTTTCGCAATATGCATATGACGAATTCTATTTTATCTTATCCTTTTCTCACACAAAAATCGGATCCTTCGCAAACGTTGAAGTAGTACTTTTTCAAAAAAAAAAAAAAAAAAATCATAACTGCCCAAAAATTCCAAGCAGGTTATAATTGTTGTTTCCACTAATATTTTATTTTGTCAATTAATTTTGCTACACTTTTAAAATAAAAAAAGTGACAAAGTGGAGATTAGGGTTGTAGGTAGTGACAAATTAGGTAATCACCTTTAACTGTTGGTTTATATCGATCTAAATATAACTGCAGATGACATAGTCATCTAGAAAAAACTATAAAAACAGTCGAACACATGGAAAGCAAATAAGTTAGTAAAATATTAAGGCAATAGGTTGAGTACAGCGCAACTGGACACGTACTTAGAAGAATCACTTGATAATGACTCTGTGCGCGCTAGGTGCAGATTCTCTTTGGTCTTTCAAGGCATATAAGAGCGTTTTGTATATGCCACGCTTTCTAAAATGAAGAATAATAATTATTTTAAGTATGAAAGGAATGCCTTGCACTTTTCTCGCATTGCATTAAAAGGGAATTATAATAGTTAAATGCAAAGATCCACATAATGGAGTGCCCTTTGATGCTGGGCAAAAATTAATATATTAGAACTGCTCTCTTGCCCACCGGTGATGCGACAAGATGTGATATTGTCATGTTATCGATATTTTAAACCCCATCGACGATGTAGCAACTCATCAATGGACAACATATCTCATATCCAGTGTCCACTACGGGCAAGTGATCATTTCTGATATATACGATTGCACTAGTCATCCTATATGACGACTTTTTATTTGGGACATTAATTTCCTATAATTTTATTACTTCAAATAATATGCTGTTACATAACTATTGCAACCCCTGACAATGATTAAAACTACTCTATCCGTTAAACAACAATGTATACAAACATTTTATTCCTCAATAATACAATTACATTACTATTCTATATACCATATGCACTTGGAAAGGAATCCTATCCTGACCATATATTCCACCTGATCAATCAAGATTGACAATGACATGAACAACTTTTCCAAGTATAGACCCCAAAATTTCACTAGGAGTGGGTGTTCGAACTCGATTTGAATATCAATGGAAATCTTAGAAATGGAATCATTGATTTTATATTCAATTATAGAACCGAACCAACCGGTTCCGATTCGGTCTGGTCCGGTTCTTTATATTAAAAAATTATAAAAATAAGTATGAAACTACTTGTGAGATTGAAAATAAAATATGAAATCACTTGTGATTCTTATAATCCAATCAAATAATGCAAAAAAAAATTCAATTAAATAAGACCACAAACAAAAATTCATTCCAAAACTCATTAACAACTCATAAAGGCGAAAAAAAAAAAGAATTATGGAACACACCATAAACGGTATAATACCGATCGAAAATTAATTCTTACGAAAATCAATATAACTATAACCTGATTATCTTTATTAATCCTCGAGGATTTTGGTGGGTGATCACCTTAAAAAAAACAGGAAAAATTTGAAGTCTTATGAAATATTGAACTAAAAATATATATTTTTTCTATTGATTGCATCAAAATTAGGGATAATTACAGGAAAAGCCTCAAACCTTTAAAACGTTGGTAGACTTTTCCCAAACCTCTGATTTATTGCAGATATCACCCCTAACTTTTTGAATTGTTGCAGGTAGGGCATTTTTGGACGGTTTCCATCCAAAATACCTTCAGTTGACCCAAAAAATTGATTTTGATCATATTTTAATCAATTTCAAAAAGGTAGAATGGTAACTATATATTAATTACATTAAATAATAAACAAAAAAAGAAAATAAATAATACTAAAAAAAAGTCAACCCCCCCCAAACGAAACCCCAAACCAAAACCACCTCCCGTTATATCATTTATTTCTCAATTATTCAGCTACTTAGAAAATGAATATTCAGCTTTTGCATGTAATAATTAAATTGCTAGAATGAGCTTGGTCGAATTAATTGCTAGAATGAAAATACCAAGCAAAAGAGGCACTTGAAGACGGAGCTGAAGGTTTCCTAGAATTTGGCCCTGATTCCGACGGTGGTGAAGGCGACCCAGGATTGAGAATTAGTTTATATTTGGTTCTAGTTTGGTTCCAGGAAGGGGAAAAAAAAAGAAAAAAGACTACCCCTATATTCACTCGCACAAATTCCGTGTCAACTTTTGCTATTTGATCCGCAGCTGAATGAATAAGTGGAATCAAGATGTCACACTCTAATTTGCATAAAGTACACTTAGAGAAATTGGGTTTCTCNTTGATCCGCAGCTGAATGAATAAGTGGAATCAAGTTGTCGCACTCCAATATGCATAATATACACTTAGAGAAATTGGGTTTCTCCAGCTTCCACATAAATTGAAAGCAACAGTTTTTTTCCTTCTAAATATGCAAAAATTCAATACTCCACTAGCTCTTGTTAGACACGTAACTGAAGCAAGTGACGAACTTTATCTTTTGTCATCTAAAGTTTATTCTAACTTATACCTGTAGTCGTTCACCGAAGTAGAAAAAATTGCTACGCAAATAAATTGATTATGTCTAAGTCAATCCTCGTGCAATTTTAATGAATCATCAGTCCATTATTTCGACTCGTTCACGTTCTTCCTTTAACAAGTAGTGCCTGAATCGCCGTTTAAAACATAATGAATCTTTTCATTCAATCATCTACTCATACATATAATTAAGTAATTCTGACAAGTAACTTTATCCTAGAAAAAAGTCATATGTAATGATAAAGGTGGTGGTCCATCAATTGGCCTCCACTAGCTCTTGTTAGACACGTGGTATCAAGATAAAAATATAAAATATTAACAATTATGCCCGACTTGGGATTTTCGGGCGGTTATTTAATTTTTTTTTTCTAGTACTGATTTTGGCGTTAACGAAAAACCCAAATGGATGATTTTTGAGTCATTTTTAAAAAAAATTCAATTCACACCTTAGAGTTTGTTATTCAATAGTTTTGAAATTTTTTTAAAATAATAAAATTACATCCGCATCTCTTAGTAAAATTTCAATTTATAATTTTTTATATAAATTTTTATTATAATAAATATTTTACTTATAAGTAATTTTTATACATATGAGTTAATTTTTAACTTAAAAAGTGAAATATTACTTATAAATAATTTTTTTTTTAACTTAGAAGTAAATTTACAATTATAAGTAGTATTTTGAAAAGCGTGAAGTGTGAAGAGGTGTGTAGTCCAAACTTTGGGCAAGGAAAGGCCAAGGTGTAAAAAATATGTTTTCTATATTTAAAAAAAAAAACTTAGCAAGTAAAAAAATAAAATAAATTTATAAATATAAATATAATATATAAAAAAATAATAATAAGAAAAAGCGCGAGGTGCTCATAGACGCCACTTTTTAAAACACTAGTTATAAGTTAATTTTGTATTTTTAAATGATTTTTAATGTAAGTGATTTTTTATATATAAATAACTTTTTTTATATTTTATAAGTGATTTTTTAGTCTAGTCATTTTACTTTATAATCAGTTTTTTACTCAAAGTGAATTTATAGCAAATTTTTATTTTTTTATTAATTTTTTTGCTTGTAAATAAATTCTAGTTAATGTATTTTCATTTGTTGGTTAGTCCATGTTTGTTTCCATTTTTAGAACTCTTTTTTTATATACTCATCTTCAACCACACATTATCACAATATAATATTTTATACGCAAATCTAAAACATTTTCCTACTTTTCAACCATGTATTCTCAAAAATCCACTATTCAAAATAAAGTTATTCCCAAAAAATGGCCACCAAACAGGGGGCTTACTTTTTTTAAAAAAATAACAGAGTTGGAAATAATCATTTTATAGAGGGTAAAATTGGACTAAAATTTGAGAAACAACTAAAATTGACCGATTGGTTGGATTGAGAAATATGGCAAAAATTACACTATACTTAGTCTTTGTTTGGTCCTTTTTATTTAAAAAAAACATTTTTCTTTCGCTTATTTTCAATCACACATTTTTTAATAAAATAATATTACAAGCAACCCCAAAACTTTTTATTTCTCTTTAATCACAAATTCTCCATCAAATCACTATTTCAAAATGAATTTTTGTAGGGAGGGGGGTGGGGGGGTTAAACATGCTAGTGTCCAAAAAACTAACAAATATTGATTTTTCCAAATCCCATAAATGATGCTATTAAAATATTTTCAAAATCCACGTAAAACAAAAATAAAAATCCCAAGCAAGCTTTACCTGTGTGTAATATTTACCACAATTTTGTGCTGCCATCTATATATATGTGTACGAGTACACCAAAAGAACTCACACATGGTTTCTTATCTTCCGAAAGATTAAGGAATTATCAAATTATTGGTCTTCGAAACTCACTCCAACTTAAGCTCCAACTCTATTCCTATGGCTAATCAAAACCCAGAAAAAAATGGAGACACCAACCAATCCCAGCTGCCGGTTTCCGATTTGGCCCTCCCCAAGAAGCCTAAGAGAAGCAAGTATGCTTTAGCTTGCTCTCTTTTAGCTTCAATGTCATCAATCTTACTCGGATATGGTAATAACAATAGTAATACTGATTCGTGCTACAATAAGATTTTGCTTCGTTCACGTGTAACTTGTTCCTATTTTTTACAGATACAGGAGTGATGAGTGGAGCAATAATCTACATCAAGGACGACCTCAAAATCTCCGATGTCGAAATAGAGATCCTAGTAGGGACCATAAATGTCTTCGCCCTTGTTGGATCCGCCTTAGCCGGACGGACCTCCGACTGGATTGGCCGCCGTTACACCATAGTCTTGGCGGGGGCAATCTTCTTTGCCGGAGCTTTTTTAATGGCCTTTGCCACCAACTATGCATTTCTTATGTTTGGCCGGTTCGTGGCTGGGATCGGAGTCGGCTATGCTCTGATGATAGCTCCCGTGTATACCGCTGAGTTATCTCCGGCCTCATCTCGTGGATTCCTCACTTCTTTCCCTGAAGTCTTCATCAATGCTGGTACATATTCTCACACATACTAAAATGTGCATAGATTGAGCATAGACACATATATGACATTTTTGTTAATACAATGACTCGAATTTTGTTTGTCTTGATTCGAAAAGTTCGTGGTGCGATGTATATGTTGAACTAAAATTATGTGGAAAAAAATAGAATATGTGGTGGTAGCAGAGGGATTGGGCCAAGAGGCCGCACCTCTCGTAAACATTTTTGATATAGTGAATTTGTCTATTTTGGCACGTAGTTTTTTTTGTCTTGAATTTCCACACAAATCTTCTATTCTTGTTCTTATTTCATGGTCTATTCTTTTTTTTAGGGAACAATTTCTGACAATTTACTTTTTAAGTTTTAAATGCATGTAACACATAATTTTTTTTCTAGGAAGAACATGTTCGAAAATTTTCATTTGAATTTTTTCTCAAATATTAATTTCTTCATAATTGTTAGTTAATTAAAAAAGTAGTCTTAGTTTCAATAATTTTATAAACTGTAAACTATAAGATAAAATTAAATTGTGTATTCACATGAGAAGTTGAAAAGTTGTGAATCCTATAAAATATGTGATTAAAATTAATTATTAATTTTGAATTAAATTTTAATCAATTTTTTTGGCGGTATCAGATGGGGCTTAAGATAATATGTCCACAACCATTATCCAAGAACTCCTTTTTATATATATTTATTTTCAAACACATATTCATATAATAAAATATTTTATACGTAAATTTAAAATTTTTTCTATTTTTTAATTATATATTTTTGAAAAATTCACTCTTCAAAATTTTATTTTGTCAAATAATGAACCTTCAAATAGAAGCTATGGTTAGTTGTTTGACGAAAGCCTAATTATCAAAATTCATTCACTATCAAAATTTTTATAGTTTTCAACTCTAGCAGCCTAGCTCATTTGTGTCTACTTCTCTTTCATATTAAAATACTAATTTAAAGAATCAAATTACTTTGTTAATATCACTACTCTTATATAAAGATAAAAATGTGTATAAACTAAAATTCTTTATCTTGTGCTTCTTACATTTTTTTTTTTTTTGGCGATGGTCTAATTTAAATTGTTTTGTAGGTGTATTGTTAGGATATATATCAAATTATGTATTTTCCAAGCTTCCAACGAACTTGGGCTGGCGACTCATGCTTGGTGTTAGTGCAATTCCATCGGTTATCCTAGGTCTGGGTGTCCTAGGCATGCCCGAGTCACCCCGGTGGCTAGTCATGCAAGGTCGATTAGGCGATGCAAAAAAAGTCCTGAACAAAACCTCGGATTCATTAGAGGAGTCCCAAATGAGATTGGCTGATATTAAAGAGGCTGCAGGATTGCCAGAAAATTGCAACGAAGACGTCGTTTCTGTTCCAAAACGAAGCCATGGCGAAGATGTATGGAAAGAAATGTTCCTCCACCCTACACCGAGGGTCATACACATTATGTTGGCGGGCATTGGTATACATTTTTTCCAACAAGCGATTGGCATAGATTCTGTTGTGATATACAGTCCTAGAATTTTTGAAAAAGCCGGTTTGAAAACTAATACGGACAAACTACTTGCCACTATAGCAGTAGGAATCTCAAAGACAATCTCCATCCTAGTGTCCACATTTTTGCTAGACAGGATTGGACGGCGAGTTTTGCTCCTCACAAGTTGTGGTGGTGTTATATTCTCCCTCGCGAGCCTAGCCACTGGATTGACCATAATTGATCAATATCCAGATCAAAAATTAACGTGGGCCGTTGCCTTGTGCATCCTCATGACATTAGCATGTGTTGCATTTTTCTCGATTGGGATGGGTCCCATTGCATGGGTCTACAGCTCCGAGATCTTCCCGTTAAAGCTAAGGGCCCAAGGGTGCAGTATAGGAGTCTCGGTTAACAGAGTCGTCAGTGGGGTGATATTAATGACATTTATATCCCTGTACAAGAGCATTACAATTGGAGGGTCTTTCTTTTTGTTCGCAGGGGTTGCGACTGTAGCTTGGATTTTCTTCTACACATTGCTACCTGAGACACGGGGAAGAACCCTAGAGGATATGGAAGTCCTGTTTGGTACTTTCTTTAGGTGGAGATCCACCATGAGAGAATTAGAGAAGAAGAAAACGGAGGGCAATTCTGATGGACTTCACACGGCCACCAGTAACCAGGCTTGAGGGTAATATTGTAAATGGCATGTCTGGTCTACGAGACTAGATTAGATTGCACTCGACTTGATTGAAAAAATAATAGTAGAAATCTTGGCCTACTTGTTAATACTATGTACTGAACATGCTTGTTGATTTTATAAAGGACTTAAGTGTCGTTTGTGGCCTTTTTGTTTAGCTAAATTGGTACATACGAACACACACACACACACACACATATATATACTAGGTGCAAACAACG